CTGAGGCAGGAGACTTGCTTGAGCCCAGGAGTTGGAGGTTGCTGTGAGCTGTGATGCCACAGCACTCTACCCAGGGGGACAGCTTGAGGCTCGGTCTCAAAAAAATAAAAAATAAAAAAAAGATAAAATTCAGACTAAAAGTTAACAGTGTTTCAGTTAAACCGTGGCATTTGATGACTCCCAAATTTTATCCCTTGTTTGACCGTGACACTGGGCTCCAGGTGCTACTTAAATCCCTGATGGACATCTCAAATACAGCATGGCCAAAGTCAAACTTTAATTCACACACACCCATACCTCCAATCCCCACTCCCTGTCTTCCAGCCTTCTCAATCTCACTGACCAGGTGCTTGAACCTGATTCATCTTTCCCTCACCTCCAATCTCTAACCTCTGCCCTTAGGTATAGTCCAAGTGCATCCACTTCTCCCCATCTCCAGAGCCACCATCCCAGTCTAACATAGTATCATCTCTCCGGATGACATGGTACTGCCCAGATGAACTTCTCACTTCCAACTTTCTCCCTACAGTCTGATCGTCACATGGTAGGCACGGAAATCTTTCAACATCCTAGGGTCTTTGTCTTCATGTCACTTACCATCATCTGACATCATTGTGGCATTTGATTGCCTGTTTGTTTTCAGTCTCCTCCCAGAGGAATGTCTGGCTCATAAGGGCAGGTCCTTACCTGTCACATCTACTGTTGTATCCTCACCCGGTGCCAATGCAAAGTCATGCTTGATAAGTACATATGGAGTAAACACATTATCGTGAGTGACTGTTACTGTCTTGACCTGCTGCCATACTTTTTCCATGTGTAGATTCTTCCTAAGGCCCTTGTCACTATCCCCTTCCCCACTCAGTCAGGTCCTGGGTCCTCTGCTTTGAAAAAGCCCTGTTCCCAGGCCATTGTAAGGGTGGTAAGTACCAAGGAGAAAGGACAGGCTTTGGGTCTAGTCCTACAACTAGATGGCTGCTAACCCCCTATCTGTGGCTCAGCACCCATCCTCAGTTCCCACCTACTTTCCCTACTGAACCTCCATCTCCACATCACTAGCCAAAGAATTTCTCTGGGCATAGATAAAAACCCAGTTCAGACCTCTCTCCTCAAAGAAGGAACTCTGCCTGGCTAAGCAAGTGCTACCCCTCCCCTGCTGGTAAAGTGCTGGGGGCAAGCTGCAGATCCTGGTGTGGATATGGAGAGAAAGGAACACTTTTACACTGCTGGTGGGACTGCAAACTAATACCTTTTTGAAAGGAAGTATGGAGAATCCTCATAGAACTCAAATTACACCTCCCATTTGATCATGCAATCCCATTACTAGGTATCTACCCAGAAGAAAAAAATAATTTCATCCTAAGGACACTTGCACTAGACTATCGCAGTTCAATTTACAATCACCACAATGTGGAAACAACTTAAATGCCCACTAATCAGGAATGGATTAACAAGCTGTGGTATATGTATACTATGGAATACTATTCAGCCCTTAAAAAAATAGACTTTACCTCTTTTGTATTAACCTGGATGGAGACGGAATTCATTCTTCTAAGTAAAGGATCACAAAAACGGAGAAGAAAGAATCCAATGTACTCAATTCTAACGTGAAGGCAGTAGATGATATAATACAAGGTGGGGGTAGGGGAATGAGGGAGCAGGGAGAGTGGAGGGGGATAGGGGTCACGGTGTACAGTACACCTCTTGGGGGCGGGACACAATTATAAGAGAGACTTTACCTAACAAATGCAATCAGTATAACCTCATTCTTTGTACCCTCAATGAATCCCAAACAATTAAAAAAAAAAGTACTGGGGGCAGGGAGTAGTCCCAAAATCTAACAGCATGACTCTGAGGCAGGTGCACACCTGAGCAGAGATGTGAACTGATATTGGACACCACTATCCTGGGCAAGTTGAGGATAGAGCCCCTACACTTCCCAGAACTCTGAAGAGTTTAGATGTTCTTGGCTCTACTATTTGGGCTCTAAGAATATTCCAACATCATGCTTTATTTATATAAAAACATTAAGCTAATATAGATGCGACTTGGCTAAAATTATTTTCCTTAGTGAATTCCATTAAGCCAGT